AATTTATAAAATAGAAGTTAGGGTAGTTATGTGCATTACAGAAAGTTGTGTCTTTTGGGGTAAGTATCCTAGGTTCCTTAAATCAATGAATCTATTGAGTGCTTATTTGATAAAAATGACTAGAGTAAATAAATCAAGATCAAGCTTACTGAATCAGAATCCATGGGCCCTTGAGATACCGTATACTGTATATCTTCTTCTTGCCTTGTCCCACTTTATCCCCACCCAATTTCTTTCCCTCCCTCTCTCTTTTCTTTCTTTTTCTCCTCTCCCCTCCCCTCCTCTGCTCTCTCCTCTGCTCTTTCCTCCCCTCCCCTCCCCCATCCTCTCTTCCCCCTCCTCCCCTCCCTCTCCCCCTCCTCCCGTCTCCCCTTCCCCTTCCCTCTCCTCTGCCCCCCCCCCCCCCCTCCCCTCCCTTCCCTTCCTCTCCCCTCCCCTCCTCTTCTTTCTTTTTAGACAAGGCCTTGCTACTGTAGCCCAGCTGGCCTCAAACTTGTGATCCTCTTGTCTCAGCCTCCTGAGTGCTAGGATTGCAGGTAGGTGCTACCAGGCCTTGCTGGGTACATACATATCTCTTTTAAAAGTTTAACACGTTACCAAGATACTCTCTGTTATTTGAAAGCCAGCTCCTAGGGGCTAAGGAGATGGTTCAGTCAGCAAACTGCTTTTGCTGTGCAAGCATAAAGACCTGAGTTTGATCCCTAGGACCCATACAAAATAGCTGGGTGTGGTAGACTGTCTTGTAATCCCAGCTCTGGAGAGGTAGAAACAGGTGAATCCCTATGGCTGGCCTAATTGATGAGCTCTGGAGGAGAGATATCTGAGGTTATCTCTGGACTCCATACACGTGCACCCACACATACATACATGTACCCATGCACATAAAACTCAGCACCTAAAGAGGCCAGCCTGGTCTACATAGTGAGTTCCAGGACAGCTGGGGCTACAGGGAGACCCTGTCTCAAAAACACCAAAGGAAAAAGAAAAAAAAAAAAAAAAAAAAAAAAGAATGTTTTAACCTCTGAAGAAGATGTTTTACAAAGAAACAAATCTTACATGTTGTGTGACTACTATTAGGGAAAGAAAATCAGTTTTATTAAAGGGAAATGTTATTTATTCAAAATTGACTTAAACATTTTTGAGATTATATACACACCATAGTAATCTAATTCAGTGGTTTGGGTATAGCTATAGAGTTGTGCAATCAATCACTACACTAACTAGAACATTTTCACCATCTTTTTAAGTGAAGATTCTTTTTACTTCCATTACACTGCAGATT